TGGGGGGAAGTCCAGAGGCTCAGGGGCAGTGAGAGGCTTCACCAGAGATAGAGTGGGGAGCTGAAAAGGCTAACTGACGAAATACACTGCTGTGGGGAGCAGTAGGCGGGTCAGGGGAGGTCTGCTGCTCCATGAGTCACCTCCAGTACCAGGGATTGAACTCATGCTAAAGTGACTTTAACTTCTTAGTGCTGTGCTTTACCAGCTGCGCCACCAGGGCAGGCCTGGCCACATGATTTTTAAATTAAAAATGATATATATACTAGAAACATACACAATGTCAAAAACTAATGTTAACTCAATAAAAAAAATTCTTATACAACTTTTTAACAAGGGAAAATATAAAGCTAAGCCTGTTGTCAAACTTCACTTAGAAATACCATTAATTGGGCCCTCACTGGTAGCACACGGGATTAAAGCACAGCACTATGAAGCACTATCACAGCACTATCACAGCCACTGCAGCATGAGTACGATCCCTGGCCCAGAAGTGACCCACATGACATGGCAGACCTCTCCTGACTTGCCCACTATTTCAGTATATTTCAGTCAATCTGCCTGTTCTGCTCCCTACTCTGTCTCTGCTGAATTCTCTCATCACCACTACCCACCCTCCCACACCTCTGTCCTATACCCCAGTTCTGCATGCATAAATAAATCTTAAAAAAAAAAAAATGCAGCATTAACCAAATAACCCAATGGGCGAGATTGGTAGAATATAAACACTAACTCGATTTACATGATTGGAAAGCGTACTAAATCAAAAACATTCATTTATGAAACACAGGAGGCTATTTTGCTTATTTGAGGGATTTTAAATTATGCTATCTTTGTCATGATTATGTAAAACCCCTTATTTGAGGAAGTAAGACAGTTGGTTTTGGCTGTTTCTGAAACAAAGGACCAGTGCACAAACACTAGGCTAATTCATTTTAATCAAATAAAGTATCTATATACACCAACTTACAAACATGTGGAAAGTTCAACCAAAGAATGTCCAAGGCAAAAACTACTGGAAGTAGGTAAAGAATCTACAATCTTTAGAAAAAAGAAATGTGGTAGGGAAAAATTATAAACTGAAGGAGGAAAAATATTACTTATTGTGAATTAACACTGGTAAAAGAATTCAGGTTACACTCAGTTTTCAGAGCCCTCAATTTCCAGATGTTCCTCAGAAGTTCATCCAGTAGTCTACCCTTTTGTCAAATGGCAAAAAGTCACCCATTCAGTTAAGAACTTTCTACTAGGCAAGCTGTAAACTGTATAAAGTTTTAAGTATCATTCCTCAGTTAATCCCTAATTTCCAATATAAACTGTAATTCAAACTAAGAACTGCTAAGATGAGAACAGAGATAGAAATCTTTCAATTATCTCCATTTGGTCAAAAATATCAATTTCCAATAGCAGCTAGGTCATAGAACAACTTTGTAAAGGACTGCTCTTAGAATGAAAACTGTAACCTGCTCACTTAAACAGAGCAGACATATAGCAAAAAACTTCCCTCTTCCTCCTCTGATATGCACACCAAATGTTTCTTTTTCATCTTATTATTAAAAAAAAAAAAAGGATTGTGTATATGAATACTGAGCAAAACAGGGAGAACAGGAAAAAGACCAGGATTTCCAAAGGGAATGTATATACCAAAGGGAGCTGTAGTGATTTTTAATAGTGAAAAAACATTACAGCAGAACTGATAAAGTGGGCCTAATATTAGTCATATCAACACATTCTCTCTTTAAAAGAAAGTCCAATGTAGGCCCTCCCTGGTGGTGGAATAGGTTAGGATGCAGCACTGCAAGCTGGCCGAAACCACTTCAGTGAGAGTTCGATTACCCGCCCTGGAGGTGATCCACATGGCGCGGCAGACCTCTCGTGACCTGCCTGCTGCTCCCCTCAGCAGTGTACTTAGTCTATCTGCCTGTTCTGCTCCCCACTCTGTCTCTGGTGAAGCCTTTCACCGCCCCTGCACCTCTGGCTTGTACCCCAGTTCTGTGTGAATAAATAAATCTTGGGTTCTCCCAGTGGCGTAGTGTTTAAGCACAGCACTACAAAGCTATCCAAAGCCACTGCAGCATGAGTTCGATCCCCGCCTGCTCTAGAGGTGACCCACATAGTGTGGCAGACCTCTCCTGACCCGCCCAATACTCCCTTCCACTACTCCCTCAACAGTGTACTTCATCAGTTTGCCTGACCTGCCCCCCACCCACACTCTGTCTCTGGTGAATCCTCTCACTGCCACTGCAACTCTGGCCTGTACCCCAGTTCTCTATGCACAAATAAAGCTCTTTAAAAAATAAATAAATCTTAAAAAAGGAAGTGCAATGTAAAGCGAAATTATAACAAAAAGCTATGTGTATTCTCAGAAAGAAGATTTCAAAAGACTCAAGCATCTTAATCATGAGACATCAGGCTACACTGTATGGACATACATGCACATTAAGTTAACTAATAGTTAATCAGATTATTCTCTAAGTAACATAAAGTGACTTCTTGCTCTTTCGAGCCGTTATTTTCTACTTTGAGATGTTCCACTTTCATGCTGACCATACCCTCATATTAAAAACAGAGTTCTTGCAAATGAGTGACAACTGTTTCAGTTTCAGCTCTTGTTCATAAAATGCTTTCATTTGGCCCACTCTATCTCAACGCTAATTCAAATAACCTTGACTACCTTGGAAGTTAGACCACCTATTGGTTAGAATTAGTTTCATTCAGACACTGATGCTAGGAGAAATTCAAAGAACATCATGGGTCATCTAAACAGCTCTATACAGGTTATGGAGTAATTTCCTTTTAGAGCTTCATGAAATTAAATAAGAATCAAAAGATGCATAAATGTAGTAGGAGCATGTTATTTAAACATACCCTCTCTGACTAGATAACACCTTCCAATTCAAAGAGTGGAGATGATGACCACTGTAACACCAACATCTGCAGAGAATCACCAAACCCAAACCCAGACTCCTGTCTGGCTCACTACTCCCCTCAGCAGTGTTTTTCAATCATCTGCCTGTTCCATTCCCCACTCTCTAGTGAATCCTTTCAACCCCCACACCTGTGGCTTATACCCCAGTTCTTCTTAAGTGCTTGAATAAATAAATCTTTTTTAAAAAAGACATTTTTAAAAATCTGTTAGCACAAATGGCAAAAATAACAATTTTCTTGTCTGTTTGAAGAAGACCTTCAGACATACTCTACAACCTTTCCCTGTTAAACACTGAAGCAATGCTTACGTTCAGGATGGTTAAGAGTTTCTTATAACTAAGATCTATTTAGCCCTTTTGAGGTAAATAGATTAGGACAAATTAAAACATTTAACACAAATGTGAAATCTTTAATGACTTCTTCCAAAGTGACTGCTTCATGCAAATAAAGGGAAAAAATATCATCTCTTAATTAAATGCTTTAAAATGCACAATACGTAACATACACAGAACTGAAATCAACCATATATACAAATCTGTAATTTTTTAACAACAAATTATTAATTAAATGTATTAAAGTTTAATTACATTTTCAGATAGTTTAAGACATATCTATGGACTAAAAGCAACCTCTACTCCTGAATTCAGTCATGACAAAAAGACAATCTAACTTACTAGTATTAGTCAATAATATAGATTTTTACCTTTAGAAAATATAAAATTGAATAACTGATTAATTAGCAAAACTAAAATCTCTTGTTGAAAATAACAAAATAACCATACAACCTAGCATTTTAAAGTTTCTCACTAATGCTAGACATACTGTATTTTTTAAATAAGCGTGTTTCAGAGTTTTTTGTGATAATAGTTTTAAAACTAAAGAATTTAATTAAATGAAACATATGATCTTACTGATAATTCTCTTCCATTAATGTATTTACTTAGAAAGGGTGTCCCTCTCTTTCACCCAGTTAACTATTACTTATCAATCTTTTAGGTCTTCACAGTTAGCTTTTTCCAAAGACCTTCCACAAAACCTGAACTCCTGATAGTACTTACTTTCATTAACAAAACATTCTTCAAATACAGTACACTGAATTATCTGGTAGTGATAAACAAAAAGATGTTTAAATGTTTGTTGAATGAAGACGTTAAAAGTAATCAGAACCCCCTTAAAGTGATTGGGAAGTTAACACTTTAGATCAAGCCATAACCTGTAAATAGGGAAATGTATTGATCAGATGAAGCCATAACCTGTAAATACTGAATATACTTCCTAATTAAGATAAAGTCTGCAAGCAGCTAAAAGTGCTATGGTGGTGGGAAAACGAAGGGGAAAATCAAATACTGTTCAAAATGATATAAGACAATAATTAATTAAAGTAAAAATACATCTAGCCATAACTTTTTTTTTTAAAGATTTATTTATTTATTCATACAGAACTAGGGTACAGGCCAGAGATGCAGAGGGTGAGAGGATTCACCAGGAACAGAGTGGGGAGCAGAACAGACAGATCTATGAAGTACACTGCTGAGGGGTGCAGCGGGCGGGTCAGGAGAGGTCTGCCATGCCATGTGGATCTCCTCCGGGGCAGGCAGGGCAGGCAGGGATCGAACTCATACAGAACTGGCTTAAACTTCTTAGTGCAGTGCTTTAACCCGCTGCGCCACCAGGGAGGACCACTAGTCATTACTTTTATAATGATATATATGCAGGCCTCCCTGGTGGCACAGGACTTAAAGTCTTAGCACTATTGAGGCAATCACCAGACACTGTGACAACACAAGTATGATTCCTGGCTTGGAAGCTGACCCGCATGGTGCAGCATATCCCTCCTGTCTGCCCTGCTGCTCCCCTCAGCAGTGTATTTCAGTAGAACCACCTGTTCTGCTCCCCACTGTTTCTGGGGAATCCTCTCATCCCCCGTACTTCTGGTCTACACCCCAGTTCTTATATGCAGTAAGAAAAAATCTCTGTGATAAACATGACTGGCTTAAAAATCAAATGAATCGATTTAAGAAAAGTTATTTTATTTTTGAGTTGCTTAGAAGATTCATAAACTGGAAAAATCTCACCTCTCATGGGATCAAAGAGCTGATTAGCTTCCAAGTCTGTAAAAGTACTACTACAACGAGGACATTTGAAGGAAGCCCGATTGGTGGAATCTCTCTCATCAGTTTCAATCCTCCTTCTCATGTGGTCCAATTTATATTTTACTACATTAACAAGAGTCCGATAATTAATAAAGTAGTAGTTATGACGAGTGGTTTTTCCATCTGCAGCAGTTTCTACCCTCATTCTGCATTTGATGAACTTGTCTCCCTTTAAATTGTTTAAAACTGATCTAAGTTGTTTCCGATCAAATTTCAGAAGTTCCAGCATATCCTCTTCTTTCACACAGGGATTCCGGATCAAGATGTCCAAAGTCAAGGCGTGCTCAATGCCATAAAACCCCCGGATCACATACTTGGCTAACCTCTTCAATGCTGCTGGAACTTCAGTGAGGACATCTGGGTCAGCCATCTTTTGCAGTAAATTTCAATTTCTACTGAATCCAGGGGAAAAAAAGAAAAGTTAGATGGACATAGCAATAATTTTAGATCTAGCACGTAGGGGGGAACTAACACTATTCTTGGAATACCACAAAGGTACTCAAAATATTTTTTAAAGACCTGTAATGCCTAACTCTTTTGTTTCTATTAAAGAACAAAACTTTCCTCTAGAATATAGCATAGATTATACCTACAAAGCTTGACATATTTCTTAGATGGCTACTTTCAGGACCTACAGTGTACTTGATTCTATGAAGTAATTAGTACACAAAAGAGCTAAATGAAGACTCACTAGTTTTAATGATATAGATCACTGAGAATGCTAACAACCCCCCCAAGAAATCTAGCAGTTGACAATAGCTTCATAGCATCGTTCTTTTCTTGGGTAAAATTTTTCTACCAAGATAGATTCAAAGGTATTTCATATAGTCGTGCTCACAAAAGAAACACCAAAAACCATAAACACATAAATAATCTCCAGTTGGAATATATGACAACCCCATTAACTGTTACAAATTTGAAAGAAATTAATACTTAGATTCAGGAACTCAAAGTTACACAGCTACTAAAACATAGGCTAATTCTGAGCAAAATCCTGAAACAACTTCAAGTCATTTCAAATCACTACTCTGAGAAATAAGGATAGTATCAACTACCTCAGTGAAGTTCTGGGAGTTAATGAGGACGTAAGTAATGCGCTTAGGAAGTGCTTGTTAATAAGGAGAGCTTCCATATCAATTTAATGTCCCAAAATAAAAATGACCAGGCTATACACATAGACCACATCAACTGAATTTTCCAAGATCGCGAGGAATTATTTAATAGGCCTAGACTGCACTTTGAATCATTTCAATGGGGGAGCCAGAGTATTAATGCTAACACCATGTTCAAAGTCTCTATATTTAAAAACTCTCCTTCCTGACCACTGCCCTTTCTCCTCCGCCACTTCTACTCCCTATATAAGCTAGACAAGTTTATACTGAACCCTTTAAAAAAATAGATCAGTGGCTATCAACATTATCAGTCTGAATACCTCCACAGTAATTGCCTAAAAAGATATTCCTAAATAGTTAATCTTCATGTATGTGCGGGAGACCAGAGGGTATAATAATACCCTATTGAAAGTAAAGGCAAACTAAAAGTTAAAGTATACTCAGCAACCAAACAAGAGAAACACATGTCTTTTGCAGCAACTTGGATGGAGCTAGAAAAGATCATGCTTAGTGAGATAAGCCAGAAAGAGAAAGAAAAATACCAATGATTTCACTCATAGCAGGAGTACAATGGACCAGGTGAGAAAATAACAAAAATAGTGAACAACCATATACCAGAGACATTTTGCGGGGGTGGAGTGGGGAATGGGATCAAAAACGGGGGTAGGGGTGGGGGGGGGTGGGAGTGCACGGGATTATGGTTATGGCACATGGGTGACTTGGTGATGGGAAACCCACGGGGATTACAATTGAGATGGGGAAAAAAAAATGTACAAAATGATGTAAAAATAAACTGAAAAAAAAAGTTAAAGTATATCCTTCAGATAGTAAATGCACATGCAAGGTTACAGATAAGAGATAACAAAGTAGCATCCAGATGGTAAACTGGTTTTAGGGCCTTTCTGTCATCTCAAAACTTAAGGATGCCAAGTAAGTATCACAGCAATAGCGCAGCAGGTGAACTTTGTTCTACTTTCCAATTTGGTCTGTATGTTACATTTGAACCCAGTTTTGGTTTGTTTTAATCTTCAACAGGTGGCAGAAAACATAACAAAAAAATACATCCATAACTGAGCCATAAACGACACATATCAAAATTATTTACTTTCCAATTCATTTCCTACTGTCATATTCCCTCCCTGACCTCACATCACACCCTCTGTTTTCCAAACCAAGGGATCTCCACCCTGGCTATGAAGTAGAAGCAGCTATGGAACATTTTAAAATATCCACCCTGAGCCCCCATTCCTAGAGATCTGTCTCAGCTGGTAGAGGGGAAGGGCAGGGAAGCACACTAGGCATCATCTTAATTTAAAAGTTCTCTAGGTGATTCCAACACACAGAAAAAGCCTTTGACAGTGGGAAACTGGGTGTCTAGCTATGATATATCCTGCACAAGCTACATGGACAGCCTCTATGCTACTTATCACTCAACCTGTTTCCTTTACTGGATACTTTACGGGCCCTAAAGATTTAACAAAGTTCAATAGTTTTGGTTTAGAATCCTAGTTTCCACCATTTGTTATTATGTGACTGGAAAATTCTCAGACTCTGTTTCCTCATATATAAAAAGTGACAAGTGCCTTCCTCATACAGTTCATGTATGGATGAAATAATTTATATAAAGTGTTCTCCTTTCAAAACTGGCACTTTAAGTATTGGTAGTCATAAGACTTCCTACTTAGAAGTGTTTGAGGGATGAGGACTAAAGTAAGTTAATATAGAGGTACTGAGGAAGTGGCAGGAGCTATAGAAATTAACTCTAAACTAAGAAAGAACAAAAAACTCCAAGAGGACTGAATCAAACTTATTACAGAAACAAAATCAAAAGGACCCAATAGTCTATTGGAAAATGGAACAGGAAAAATTTTAAATAGCTTGTGTTTTCCCAATTTTTAAAATTGTGGTAAAATACACAAAACAAAGTTTACCAGTCAGCCTTTTTTAACTGTACAGTTCCTTGTATTAAGTACACTCATGTTATAAAACTATCACTAGTCATCTCCAGAACTATTCACCTTTAAAACCGAAATGCTATACCTATTAATATCATAGTTTAATGCTGTTCAAAAATAAGTTATTTATTTTGAGCCTTTATAACTAGGAAAAGTACTACTACGAGAAAGAGGTTAACCTCACACCTAAAAAGGTAAGGAAGAATGGGGTATTTATTTTTAGTTACTTGTTTCTGAGAAAATACCACAAAACATTCCTGTGAAGATATCCAGCAAGTAGCTGAACAAACAAAATGAATTTTAAAATGAAGCCACGCTAAACCACCATGTTCAGAATGCCTACATTTAAAAACTCTGCTTTCTGACAACTCTCCTTTCTCCTCCATCACTTCTACTCCCTATATATGCTGACTCTCCAGTCTTTGGATTCTAACACCACTTAGGTGAGATGCCTTAATTTGGCAGTCTGACACAGTTTGACCCAAAGGATGCTACGAAAATTTTCCAAATTAGTTGTCAACATTTAAAAATCCTGTTGTTTCAGGTAAACTTTAGCAGTTCTTGAAAATTGAGAATATCTGAGGGAAAAAATAAGCTCATGTTCCCACATGGTAACAATAAATTGAAACTGAGGAATAGCTGTTAAGAAAGGAAGGGGAAAAATGGGCACAAGGTGTATATTGTTAAGTGCTGGCTTCTAAAGACTTTTGAGTGTGTGACCTCACAGGGTCAGCCCTTGTTTCTTTGTTGTAGTCTCAGTAACAGTCACCTTCCAGGCTAACTTACCTCCCTACCCAACATAGCCCCCACCCCACTCCCAGGCAGATTGGTTTTGTTTTTGAACCATATGTATTTATTTAATCATACAAATATATAAGGATTACTGGGCACCAGACACAGAGTTAAAGAAACAGTGTAAATGAATCCTTCTGCTATATACCTGTCTACTCTTGTCAGCCTCATCTCCAGCCACACTGGCATGTTCTCAATTCCATAAAGCCATTCATGCTGGACACCTTGCATTAACCTCTAGTCCTTTGCACATGCTGTTTGTTCCCTTTGCGACAAAAAGCAAAGCCCAAACTGCCTTCTCCGAGAATCATCCTTCATGTCTCAGATGACACTGTCTCAGAGAAAGAGAATCATCCTTCATGTCTCAGATGACACTGCCTCAGAGAAATCTTCCCAGATTCCCCGAAAGAGCTTAGAATACTCCCCTTTCAAATGTACCCATCTTTCTCTTTCCCCTTTTTTTGTTGCAGTGAATACACTAATACTTTCTTCATGTCTACCTCTGGAAAAAGGGACTTAATCTTATTCATCATTGTCTTTCCAGCACCCAGCACAGGTAGCTAATCAAATATTTTTATAAAACTTTCAATAGATCTCCTAACCACGTGGTCTTCCAACGCGCCCACCCTGACTACTTCCTCCAACTCACTACCTTCATTGCTGCTTCCCAAATAGAAAAAGACAGGCTGCTGAAAACCTTCCTAAACTTCAAGTAACTTTAAGGGGAGGTAACGGTATCAAATTCTCGATTTTAAAAGATTTGACTGAAATGCAGGGTGTAAAATAATTAGGGAAAAGAGTGGACGCTAAGAGTAAAAGAGTATTTCAGTACGATAGAACAATTCCAGTCGTAGAAGAACTTGGATTCTGTAACTCTGTGGTTTATTTCAGTTGCCATATTTCAAAGTACTCTCCATGCCTTCATACTTAACACGGTGTATCCCCGTGAAACCTCCGAACTAGCAGCCCCTCAGAGCCTTCTGTCACGTTCACGCCTCCCCACTGCGAGACCCCGAGACCCGAATTCGCTTTAGACTGCCACCTGAGTCCGGCGGCCACAATCGGTGCAGCCAAGCCCGTTCCTACCCGAGGTCGCACGAGGGCCGCTCCCGGGTCAATGGTTCTTTGGAGGACCAAATCAAGAGAACAATTAAGAGGAGGGCACCCAAAGATGGAGGAGCAAAACTAGGGGCGACACCCAGAAAATGCGACCGCCGGCCAGGGAACCAAGAAGAAGGAACAGGGAATGAGGTTTACCAAGGCGAATCCTCGAACACTCCCACTACGGCGTCTCTGGGCGCCTCAACCACCGGCTTAAAAGAGCCACGCCACTGCCGCGACGAAGCAGACGTCTTAGTCCTGCGACTACCTCTGCGGCCCACTCGCCACATTTAAACAGGCCGGCCAATCGGTCTTCAATCGAGACGGGCATTTCCGACGGGCCAATGAAATGGACGGTCCCGTCCCCATCCCCAGCTCTGATTTGGCGAACAGTTCCGGAACAGGCGTTAGCCCCGGCGAGGCAGTGGCGAGATGGCGTCCCTGGATCGGGTGAAGGTACTGGTGTTGGGAGACTCAGGTGAGCGGCTTAACCCACTTCCGGGGCTCCCGACACGTTTGAGTTATCCGATAACCTTCCCTTTCAGTATTTTACGTCCCATTAAGTGACTCTTCGGCCTGTGGCTGAAATCCCCCTCAAGGGCTAAAGACTACACTTCCCAGAGGACTTTGCTCTATTTGACGAAGCTGGTGGCGTTGCGCGGGCGGGGGGCGCCAAGCTCTGGTCCTTCTCGGCCTGCGCAGCTTTCCGGCTCGGTTTCCCGGACGACGCGACTATAGTGTATTGTCAATTCCTTTGTTTTAAAAAATATGCAGACGTTACGTGTTGTATTGGCGCTGCTCGAAGGCTACGGAAGTTAGTGTTTGCCTTCAAAAGATTTTGCTCACTAAGGAAGTCAAACACAGAATGAAACTGGTCCAAGTCCTCTGCACATACCAATTGGAGATTAGCCCAGTTGCTCCATTTTACAGATGAGAATAATGAGGACAGATTTAAGTGACAGACCCGGTTGATTATGGGTGGCACCCATGATCTATGCACTTTGCTGGTTCTCACTCTCTCAATGGTCTTGTTTTATCTCAATTGAAAACCTGTTATTTGTTAGGTTGTAAACCATGAAGAAATTAAGTGAGGGCGTTGTCATGAACGACCGAGAATATAATACCGAGCCCAATTTAATCTGAGCGTTAAAATTCTTTTCATTCCTTGGACGTTGAGAACTAGAATTGAAATTTGCATTTCCCTCCTACCTATTCACCAGCCTTTCCTTCTTAACATAATCTAAACTTTGCTTCTTACCAATACAGAATAAATGCTAACCTTGCATTTCAAAGATAAGCTCTTCTGGAGTTGACCTTTGAGTGTGTGCTGTAAGTAAAGACATTGTGCCACATGCTTGGAGGGGGAGAGGATATACCCCAAAGAACTTGAAAACTGGCCTTACAGTTTAGGTTGGCTGGGGAGAGTTAGAGGTTGAGAACATTTTCATATTGCCTGAAGATGTACAAAATATTTTTGGAGAGAATTGTTGAATATACCCTTTAAAACAATACATTATGAAACTCTATGAATATAATCCAATTTATATCAACTTCAGTTCTTTAGTTTGAAAGTGGTGCTGAAATTAGTTGAATAAAATCACCCAGTTTTATAAAAGAGAATATGGTGCATTTGGCAAGAGTATCCCCAAGTAGAATTTAGGACTGGAATCCAGAGCTAACTCAATTCTTATTGAATAAGTGAATTGTATGTTTTTTGTCTATAATCCCCTTTTCTATTTTCTTTGTCTATAATCCCCTTTTCTATTTTCTAACAATCTTTTCATGTTACATATTGTTGAAGCTAGTGAACCCCCTCCCTCATATTTAAATACCTATGACATAGCAGGCACCGTTTTTAGTGCTGGGCTAATAAATGAGGAACCATTGCATTACATAACAGGGTTGGTTTAGCTGGTGCATTAAATGTAGAAAAGTGATTTGGAAATCAGCAAAAAAGAAAAATTCAAGTCAGTTACTGCTTTTTTTATCAATTTCCTTTAACAGTAATTTGCTCTCTGGCCATTTAAAAATATAATTTTAACACTTCATCTGTCTTTGTATTCAAAATTCAGTTTACTTTTGAATAAAGGTGTATTTCCCCTGTGGTGCTTTGAGGATTTCACTGATATATAAAGGAATGACTTGGAATTTAGCGATTAGTCTTGCATCCAATGGAGATATTAGAAAATTTAGTAAGGAACCTTGAAAGTCTCTCTGACTTGCACTTACTCTGAACAAAGCACATTATAAACAACTGTATTTGAAACTGGCTCTTATTTGATTTTATTGTGACTTTGCCCCCCAGCAAGTGTATTCTTTTGATCTACTTTAGTTCAATTGATGAAAACTCAGATTCAAAACTTTCACAGTTCAAATTATTCTTTCTGTTTAGAGTTCATCTGGCAGTAGCTAATTCCCAAAAGCCATTAACTCATGGGGAGTTGTACATTGTTACTGCATAGAAACTCAGACATAATTGAGTTTAACTAAAAGCTCAGGCTTTGCATCAAGCTGATAACTAATATGTGTCTCTAATATAAGCAAACCTACATTCAATCACAAAAAAAAACTACACAGCAGTATGCCTAAAGGTCACAGTATTCAATGAACTGCAATAAATACAGACAAAACTAAGTGTGAATAGCAAAAATCTTAAATGTTATTAAGTACAAAAATAAAAAGAATAAAAGGGGAATGTGGAGAAACTATTTGACTCAGTTAAATGAGATGACAAGTTGAAAACTGAAACCCAGTGGAAAAATGGATAGAATGCATTAATAGATAATTCATGAGAGGAAAGACAACTGATTAGCAAAGGTGATCAAAATGTAATCTTTACCAAAAAGTGAAAAAATGCAGATTAAACCAAAATGTAATTTTTTTTTAGTCTTTTCAAATTAACAAAGATGAAAAACAACAACCTATATTTGAGAGACAACAAGTACTGTAGGTGTTTGTTTGCATAAGGCTGCCTAAGCCTGCACTGCCTGGCTGGTGACAGCCACCTGATGCCAGTTATCAGTATATATCAAAACTTCAAAGGTTCATTTGTTTCTACATATTAATTTCACTTCTGGGAAGGAAATGAATTATATATATATATATATATATATATATATATACACACACACACATATATATATACACATATATATAATGTGTATATATATAATGTATATATATATTATAGTTTATTTTTACATCATTTTGTACATTTTTTTTATCTCAATTGTAATCCCCATGGATTTCCCATAACCGAGTTACCCGTGCACTTCTCTCCTTCCCTCCCCACCCCCACCCCCGTTTTTGATCCCATTCCCCACTCCATCCCAACAAAATGTCTCTGGTATATGGCTGTTCATTATTCTTATTGTTTTCTCATCTGGTGCATTATACTCCGGCTATGAGCGAAACCATCCAGTATTTTTCTTTTTCTTTCTGGCTTATCTCACTAAGCATGATCTGGAAATGAATTTTTTTTAAAGATTTATTTATTTATGCTTACAGAACTGGGGTACAGGCCATAGGTGTAGTGCGTAAGAGGAGTCACCACAGACAGAGTGGGGAACAGAACAGGCAGATTGTCAAAGTACACTGCTGAGGGGAACAGCAGGTGGGTCAGAAGAAATCTGCGGCACTATGTGGGTCAGCTCCCTGGTTGGGGATGGAACTCATGCTGCAGTGGCTTCTAAGAGCTTCATAATGTGGTGCTTTAACCTGTTGTGCCACCAGGGAGAGCCCAGAAATGAAATTTATTTTTAAAGAAAGTTGAGTAAAAATTTTTCTTAGTATAGTGAATAATTCTAAACACCCTAAATAGCAAATAATCAGGGAATGGTTACGTAATTATGTCTACTCTGATTACTATAGAGATACTAAAAATATTTGTGAACAGTCTGTAGTAATAGGAAATTTTTGTCATTAAATAATTATCATTTATGACCCTTATCTGAGATTTTAAAAAGATGACCAAAACCAGCGTCAGTCCTCAAAGAACTTAAATAGGGGCAATAAAACCTTTAATAATGTATTTTTAAGTGCTCTGTAGGAAAGTACTCAGGGTACAATGAATACCGAGAATCTGCTGGATAGTGTACTTAGTTTCTACCTGTTTAGAGTCATTCTTTATAACTAAAGTGATGCTAAGTCTCAAAAAGCATCAGCTATAGGTTCATATGTAATAATGCATACAAAGAGCTGATCTAAATTTTTTTGTAGAATTTAGTGATGTATGCTTCATCAAGTTGATTGTACATAGATATACACGAAACCTACTTATCATAAGGGCATCCCAGAATGCTGTTAATTAAATGAGTATATAGGGAAAGCTTATTCCCTTTCTTTTTCATACATATCACTGAATATTAGTCCTGAATAATAGTGCTGGTATTAAAGCTAGATTACTCTGAGCCCAAAAGAAAATGAATCGCTGCCTTTTAAAGTAAAGCTCCATGATGTTGAAGAGAGAGGAGAGTTCTGTTTTTCTAGAGAATAAGTCTGGACCAAGTGGATTGCTGCCTTTTAAAAATCACTGGGGAGGGCCCTCCCTGGTGGCGCAGCGGGTTAAAGCACAGCACTGAGAATCTGAAGCCACTTCCGCATGAGTTCGATTCCCGCCTGCCCCAGAGGTGACCACATGGTGTGGCAGACCTCTCCTGACCCGCCCGCTGCTCCCCTCAGCAGTGTACTTCATCGATCTGCCTGTTCTGCTCCCCACTCTGTCTATGGTGAAACCTCTCGCCGCCCCTGAGCCTCTGGCCTGTACCCCAGTTCTGTATGAATAAATAAATAAATCTTTTAAAAAAAATCACTGAGGACTTCCCTAGTGGCCTAGGAGTTAGTTCAGCCCCATCACCACCAGAGCCTGAGTTTGATCCCCAGCTCAGGGAGTTAACCCACATGGCACAGAGGACCTCTCCTGCCTCACCTGCTAGTCCTTTTAGCAGTATATGTCAGTAAATCTGCCTGTTCTGCTCCCCAGTCTGCACTGTGTCTGGTGAAACCTCTCAGCCCCCGTACCTCTGGCCTATACCCCAGTTTTTCTATGCCAAAAAAAAAAGAAGAAGCTCTAAAAATCAATGACAACTAGAATGTCTAAATATGAAATTATGATATGGTAAGGCCCTGTCACTGTCAGTGTTCAAACACAATCTGGAAGAACATATAACAGCGTGCTGAGTAACAGACTCTGTTGAAAGTCAGAGTAAAGGAAGTTGCCTCTATGATGTGTTAAGATTCTCCAATTCTAAAATAGGCCGAATAGATGGAAATTATACAAAAAGGCATTAATTCGTATGAAAATGTCCTAGGACCAGTAGTCTGCATAGTGAGTGAGCCCTCAGACCATTAGAATTTGTTGGAAATTTGTTAGAAGTGCAAAATCTGGGCTCATCAGCAGACCTCTAAACAGAAAACCCTGAGAGCAGGACCCAGCATTTTGTGTTTTACAAACCTTCCAGCAGATTTTGAAGCTAAGTTTGAGAGAACCACTGCCTTTGACCATCTTTCCCTCATTAAAGCATATTAAAATGTTTGACATGCTGTGAACACCCTTTGGAACATTCATATATATATATATATATCATTATAACTCTCACCATAGTAGATTTCAGCATATCTCTTACTTGACTAGAATTCTTACATCTTTTACAGGTGTTGGGAAGTCTTCGCTAGTTCATCTTCTGTGCCAAAATCAAGTGCTTGGAAATCCATCATGGACCGTGGGCTGCTCAGTAGATGTCAGAGTATGTGTTTCTTGTATTTTAGCTTTTCAGTAGTCATAGCAAAGATAATTCCTTCAAACTATATAGTCAAATTATAGTACTTTCTCCAAGACTAAGTAGAATAATAGCTGTGCTTATTAAGCATCTACTATGTGCCAAATACTATGATAAATGCCTTACATATCTTTATTTATGTAAATTGTGAGCTATAGCTGTATAAACTAAGGCATAGAGAAGTAAAGTAACTTGACACATTCACTCAGTTCAAGAGAGTCAGGATTTGATCCCAATTAGTCTGATTTGAGAAATTTCAGTTATAACTACTGTATTATCTAGTTTAGTTAACACATTTCATAAATATTTCTGCCTAAACCTTTTGCCACTAAGTTAAATTTTTGGCTAGAAATAACATCAGGCAAAAGCCTGATGTCCAGGTCCTATTTAGAAAACAGGTTCAATTTTCACTTAATTATCTTCCAGATATTGTTGGTTTTTGCTAATTCCAAGTAATTCTGTTAAACTCTCACCTCTGCCGCCTTACTTCTGTCTGTTGAGTTAAGAGATAAGTAAGGGATGGATGGTAGTTAGCTAGATCTTCAGTTACTTTGCAGTTCTCAGAGGCTGTTATTCTGAAGTCTGTTATGTTGCTGCTGCTAATTAGAAATCTTCTGTCAGTCTAGTTCTTATTGTTCTTTAAGGTAATACATGGTTTCTAGTTGCTTTTTTTTCTCTAACTGCTTTTGAAGATTTTTAATCTTTGATAGTTTATAGTTTTGTTCAACTATATCTAGGTATAGATTAGTTTTTAATCATCCTGACCAGCAGTCCTCTGTCCCTGCCTTTTGCATCTGTATTAGATTTTTACCCTCCATAGCCATATCATTTAGTTGCACTTTCATGTTTTCTTCATTTCTCCTTGGTGCATTCTGGATATGACACTCATATTTGCCTTTCAGCTAGCTAAGAATCTCTCCAAGTATGTCTAATCTGCTTTTTAATATATCCTCTCATGTCTGTTACTAGTTTTTAATTTCTGTTTAGTTCTTTGTCATATGTCAAAATTTGTCAAAATATCCTGATGTTTTATTTTCAACATACTTTCTATGGTTTCTTTTTGATTGTTCTAGTTTTTTCTGGCTAGGTGATAGGTATCTTACTTCCTGAATATACAGACTTTATACTTCATAGAAATGTATTTCTTTATATGTTTTATAATTCTTTGGAGATGGTTACATCTTCAATAGAATTTCTTTTCTTCTTCCCTTTGGAAGTCCTGTATGCTATAATGTAAAAGTACAGTGCTTTTTCATTTTGATTGCTGTTAGAGCCCTAGAATTTCAATAGTCATTTCTCAGCTCAGAGTTCCCTTGCCATTTAGATACTGTCACTTCCCCTGATGGCCTTTTATCACATAGACTGGTGGTTTCCATTTGTTGTGTATCTTTTATCTGCTGTCTACCACCCTTAACCAGTGTCTCTGACAGAAAGTGTTTCCTGCTTGCCGAAACCAGAGAACAGTATTTTCCTACTCTGTCTTTTACTATAGCTCATCAAAGGTCCAAATTTCATAAAGGGAACCATAGTTTAGTCTTTGCCATTCACCCACATATACTCATGCCTTAACAGCTGGAAAACAAACCTCTATTTCTGATGGGCACTAAAACTCCAGGAGACAGCTACTGAAGCTTTATCTGAAACTGGATCATTTCCCAGTTCTCACTGTGATTTTAAGCTCTTTCTTCAATTTTAGCATCTAGAGATAACCCTTTCTCTTGATCTTGTCTTCTGTGTGTGTGTGTGTGTTTTTAAAGATTTTTATTTTTTGTGCATACAGAACTGGGGTGCAGGCCAGAGGCTCAGGGGCGGTGAGAGATTTCACCAGAGACAGAGTGGGGAGCAGAAAGGCAGATCGACAAATTACAATGCTGAGGGGAGCAGCGGGCGGGTCAGGAGAGGTCTGCCACGCCATGTGGTCACCTCCAGGGCAGGCGGGAATCGAACTCATGCGGAAGCGGCCTTAGATTCTTAGTGCTGTGCTTTAAACCGCTGCGCCACCAGGGAGGGCCAATCTTGTCTTCTGTGTTTTTTAAAAGTATTTTTATGAATTGAAGTCAAAGGGAACCTGACAGTGTATTTCAATCTACCTTGTTCCTAAATTCTTATCAATGGAATAAAAATTAATTTAAGATAATGAGTTCAATGAAAATTTTATTTAAGTTTGAGTTTGGGAGCAACTTCTGAACTTTAAAATCCCCTTGGACTTCTCTCTTTTTTAGGTTTTTATTTATTTATTATTATAGAATAGCTGGGGTATAAGCCAGAGCCCTGTACAGTGGGTGAGAGGGTTCACCAGAGATAGAGTAGGAAGCAGAGCAGGCAGATTTACTGAAATACACTGCTGAGGGGGAGCAGTGGGAAAGATAGAAGAGGTCTGCTGCGCCACCTAGCTCCTTTTTTGCAAGAGAACATGACATTTTTATTTATTTATGCATACAAGAACTGGGAGATAGGCCAGAGGTATGGGGTAATGGGGTATAGGGGTAGGGAGTGAGAGGGTTCACCAGGGACAGAATGGAGAACAGAACAGGTAGATCTGTTAAATACAGCAGACAAAACTGAGACAGGTGAGGTTTGCTGTGCCATATATGGGTTAGCTCCCTGGGATTTAAACCCAGGCCATAACAATAATAGCACTGAGACTCAACTCCTACATCACCAGGGTGGCCCTGATTGATTTTTTTTTAATGTTAAACCGATTTTGCACTCTTGGGATAAATCCAACTTCAGTTTGCTAATTTTCTTTCAAACATTTTTAAATTCATAAGAAAGATTGGCCCTCCCTGGTGGCGCAGCAGGTTAAAGCACAGCACTGAGAACCTAAAGCTGCTTCTGCATGAGTTCGATTCCCGCCTGCCCCGGAGGTGACCACATCGCGAGGCAGACCTCTCCTGACCTGCCCGCTGCTCCCCTCAGCAGTGTACTTCGTTGATCTGCCTGTTCTGTTCCCCACTCTGTCTCTGGTGAAGCCTCTCACCGCCCTGAGCCTCTGGCCTGTACCCCAGCTCTGTATGCACAAATAAATAAATCTTTAAAAAAAAAAATTCATAAGAAAGATTGGTCTATCATTTTTCTTTCTTATAATCTCCTTGTTGGGTTTTAGTTTTAGGATTATGGTAACCTTAAACTAAGAAGGGAAGTATTATTTCTATATCTATTCTCTGGAAGTATTTATGTAAGATTGGTAAGATTGTAAAAATGGAAGTATTATTTCTATATCTATTCTCTGGAAGTATTTATATAAGATTGATATGTATTTGACAGAATTATCTAATAGCTAGGAATATGCTCCCAGGTAAAACCATCTATTAGGCCTAAAGTTTTCTTTGTAGTAGGTATTTTTTCAATTTTAACTTTCTTTTTTAAAAGATTTATTTATTGGGCCCTCCCTCGTGGCGCGGCGGGTTGAAGCACTGCACTGAGAGACTAAAGCTACTTCCGCATGAGTTCGATCCCGCCTGCCCCGGAGGTGACCACATAGCGTGGCAGACCTCTCCTGACCCGCCCTCTGCTCCCCTCAGCAGTGTACTTCGTCGATCTGCCTGTTCTGCTTCCCGCTCTGTCTCTGGTGAATCCTCTCACCCTCTGCATCTCTGGCCAGTACCCCAGTTCTGTATGCATAAATAAATAAATCTTAAAAAAAAAAATTTTTTTTAAAAATTAAAAAAAAAAGATTTATTTATTTATGCATACAAGAACTGGAGTTTAGGCTAGAGGTGGGGAGAGGGGAGAGCGGATTCACCAGATACAGAGAAGCAAGCAGAACAGGCAAATGTATTGAAATATATTCTCAGAATTAGTTTATAATATATTCTATATATTATATATATTAGTTTATAATATTCTATGTCTTCACATATCTATAGGATCTTCAGTGGTATTTCCTTCCCATTTCTGATATGTGTAATTTATGACTTTTCTTCTTGATCAGTCTTTTCAGAGGCATATCGAAGACCAATTTTTGGCTTTGTTGATTTTTCTCTATTATATATTGTCTATTTCATTGTTTCTGCTCTTTAGTATGCCTGTGCCTGCTTTGGATTTAATTTGTCAACTTTTTTTCTTAGCATCTTGAATAGTCTGTGCAACAACTAGCTATACCTCTGTAAATTTGTTCGTTATCATTCAATTCAAAATAGTTTCTCATTTCCATTGTGATTTTTTCCTTTAATTTATGAGTTGTTTAGAAAAGTGCTACTTAATTTCTAAACATTTGAGAATATTTACTATATTTTAATAATTACTAGCTTGCTTTCCTTATGCTTATGTACATATACTGTATGATTTCATCCCTTAGAATTCAGTGAGATTTATTTCATGTCTCTTTTTTTTTTTTAAGATTTATTTATTTATGCCTACAGAACTGGGGTACAGGCCAGAGGTGTGGTGGGTGAGAGGATTCACCAGAGACAGAGCAGGGAAAAGAACAGGCAGATCTACTGAAATGCATTGTTGAGGGGAGCAGCGGGTGGCCCACGCCATGTGGGTCAGCTCTGTGGTGGGGATCCAACTCATGCTTCAGTGGCTTCAGAGAGCTTCATAATGCAGTGCTTTAACCCATTGCGCCACCGGGGAAAGCCCTCATGTCCCATTTATGGTCAACTTTGGTGGATTTCTCATATGGACTTGAAAAGAGTACACATTCTATAATCGTCAAGTACAGTTTTTTGAATATCTCAAATTAATGAAAGATTAATTCAAGTCTTCCATATGTTGTTTCAGTCTGCTTGCTTCATCACTTGGTAAGGAATGAGTGTATAATCACTAAGTATAGGTGGTGCAAGGGGTTAAAGCACAGCATGAAGCTGTTCACAGCCATTGCAGCACTGACTTCAATCCCCTGCCAGGGAGGTGACCCACATGGCACAGCAGACCTCTCCTGTCTCACAGCTGTTCCCCTCACCAGTGTATTTCCTGTTTTTTTGACTTCCAGGGAATTAGAATGTGAAAGAATAAACAGCATC